ACCTAAGTTATATTTCCAGGAAAGTGATATTAGTCCAGAGCAGTTTCAACAGTAATTGGCAATAAAGAATTATAGAACCTGGTTTAAGAAATTTACCTGGACAGAAGAGAAGGGACCCCTATTATATTTTGAAAATCGAGGGGTCCTCAAGGGAACTGTTCGGGATTGATGGGTGGACATCGACGCGACCAAAGTGATTCTCATGTACCTCTTAGACAGTGTATCGAGTTTCAACAATGTATTTCAAATAATAGTCAAGATCAGATTCGGCTGCCCACAGAAATATCGTTGAACATCGTCGAGCCGCTGCCTAATGGAACTGTTAGTTCTATATCCTCAAACGATTTACCAGTTCATCGCAATGACTGCATTTTTCATCGACAACGAAGAGTTAGTGATTTTTTGAATTGGTATTCATTTATTCATTTAAATGAAACCTAGAGAATTTTGTTTTGAAGCGGTCGTAACCATAAACCGTGTTGGTTAACCATGTTAACAAAACCAAATAAAAAGTAAATGATGCTATTTGCTATTTTGAGAAAGAATAGACGTTATTTCCTTGCTTTTCTTTATCTTTCAAGTTAAGTTAGAAAAGGGAGTGAAATTATGTACGTATTAAAAACAGCCATGCTCCAAGAAATCATGAAGCACTAGCTAAGAGAATAATTTGGTTAATCAAGTAATTTAATAATAAGGACAATTAAATTATTTAGAAACAGGCAAATTATTGCGAAAATAATAAGTCATAGCTATCCTTTTGTTTCTTAATGTCTTGATTTTTCTTTTTATTGCTTGATTATTTCCTAAAGATCTTGTCGTTGTAGTTCATTCTAGTGACATCTAATGTTATTCTCTTGAGGATGCGTTATTTCTGCACATGATGGCATATGATATTATTTTCTACTTGAGTGTAAATTTCATGGAATATGCAGCAAATTGTCCTTAAAGTGCGAGAAAGTTATTTATAGGACCAGTTCCTAGTTTCTAATGCATTTTTATTGTCTGAGGAGTACAGATTGTTAGACGGACAGCCACGTAACTAGTATGGCATGAAATCACAAATTTCTAAACTAGTTTACAATTAGAACTTCAAAAAATATGATATGTTCAAACTGAAATTCAAGTTTTGTACCAGTTGAAGTTTGAAAGAATTCATACGAAGAGTTACTGTAGCTGTTGTTGATGACGTATATGTGAAAGATGAGCAAACGTCACTTCCACCATTGCTGATTTTCTCTGCGGTGCATAACGTTTTCGTTGTCATTATTATTGTTGCTTGATGAGAGTTGGTTTCGTTATTGAATGCTGCGATTTTCTGACAACTACAGCTTCTACTCGAAATGTGTTGTCGCAATAGTGAACAAATTTTTATCAATTTTCAAACATTTCGTTTAAGTTGTTGTGCCACGAAAAATAAAGTAGACTTATTTGGTGAGAAAGAAACTTTTGAATTCTCAATTGCAGAGTTACGCAGAAGTTACATAATGAGGATATATTTATCGATTAATTCACGTTTTCTGCTGAATGCAAATAGATTATGTAAATAACTTTGTTTTCATGATGCATGAATTTAATAGTGAACCTAACTAGTAGCTGTCAAATAATATTTCCTGCATCTGGATTTCTAAATGACATCTCTATGGGACTCTTATTTTATAAATTTTGGCAATATTGAGATGTGAAAAATTAACGATAGAGTTCTTAAGAGTAATTTTTTTTTCTTTTGAATTTCATTTCACGGAATAATTTTCAAGACTTTACATGTGTACTTTAATATAGAAATATAGAGTACAAATCAAAACAGAATTATATTTGATATTCATAAAATGAGGTTGTTTGTTTTGTTTTGTTTTTTTTTATCTCGTGTGTGTGTGTGTTAAATTTAAGAGTCAATGAAATCTTTGAGGCAGTAGGGTGCTTACGAGGTTCAATAAAAGACATTAGACAGCGCACTCCGAAGCTCGTTTTTCCGTCGGAAAAACGACTGCGAACATAAAATGCTACCATTGCCATCACTATCGTTCTTATCGCCATATCGGAACTTTATCCCAAGCACTGATTTAGTATAAAATAGGTATACTTGGATTGTCCTTATTGCTTATCCTTATTGTTTTAGCGCTGTTCGATTTCCAGAGGTTGCATTATTTTGTAGGAAATTTACTCTTCATTTGCATTTGTTTTCATATTAGCAGCTTCTCCCCTTTCTCTTTCTTCGATCTAGCATATTCGAATGCTTCTTATTCAATTTATATGCTTTATCAAAAAACTTTTAATAATAAAATCAAGTCGTAATTGTGGTGATTCCAGTGTTACTAATTGTTTTTATCGCAGATTATTCAAAAAAGAATTTATCACGGGTGGTGTGATACTATGATGATTACTGCTATGCGTAAGCAGCAGCATTCGGCACAAATCCTCTTGGCAAGTTCTTGAATGTTTATAAGGTTCTCCTGTTTTAGAATTTATTCCGTAGGTCACCCAAGTATTTTCTCCTGTTATACTTATTATTTCTTTTTCCCTTAAGGAACGTAGAAGCACCTTCAACTTTCATAAAGTTGAGCTTGCTGCTGGTAGGTAATATATTTAATTGTTTGTTGAGCATGTTCGAAATATGCAAAAATACACATACTTCTGTCTGTTTTGAGAGATGAGGAAGGGATTTGTTATTTATTATCTGGTTGTTGGTTCTTCTTTAGAAATTTGTTTCAGAGATCTTCATTATTTGTTTGTTTTATCCATATTGGGGAGCTTAAACTTTAAATTTTTAGTCAGGTTATTAACATCACCACAGTAATCTATCTCCCAATTGACATGTTATACTATTCGCATTGTGATACACCTTACTTCCTTATCTCTACTCATTACGCAGTAACGCTGATCTATTTCTCTCCCTTTGCGAAATGTTTCATGTTCCATTTCCTGATCTTTGAACTGAAACTAGAATTGTTTTCATCAGTTTAGTAGTAATTGGTATTTCTTCTTCGATTATAATTTGTTATCAAATCGCTATCCATTATGAATGGTACTTTTTAGCTACAAAATTTTGTCCTTTTTTAGTTCTTTTCTTTTCCCAGTCATCGATTAATATAATTCATTTGTTCTGCTTCTCGTGCAGCTTCCTATAGTTACCCATTTGTTTTCTCGAAGAATGTGGATTATGTGGTGTCTAGCAGAGAGATCAATTTTTTGAAGATTAGGTACAGTGCTTGTTGCATTTCTTGCTTTATTATTTTTATGTTGCATGCTTTTTTATTATTTAGCTGTAAAAAAGTGTGCTTTGTTATGTCTAGTTTTCATTTATTCTTTTTCTTTGCTCCTTGGATAAAAATCTGAATGTACTTATTCTAATGCTTGGGATGCTTAAGTTACTATACTTATTTTGATTATACACGACTACTACAGAAAATCTTTTCCTAATTAAACTTATACTTGAGAAAATAAAGTGTTTGTGTTTTTATTCAAACGAATAAGACGTTTTTTGCATGGAACTTGCAGATTATATGAAAATTTTTCTGCAGGCCAACTTTTAATATCTTCCCAATATATTTTATGATGGATAAAATTTTCTTCGACATGTGTGTGAGATTTGCAGTGAGTCGCAATATATTAAATTTTGAAGATATCAGGAAAGATGCTGTCAGTAAATCTTATATTTAAGGGATCATTATAAACTTTAATTTGAAGTATTTCAGAATCGTGATTACATTTTTTTTTTCCAGATATGGCAAAAGGAAGCACTGAAAACGTGTGCTGCGTTTGTTTGTTTGTTAATATCGGCATTCCTCAATTTTTTCCTGCTCACTGTGATTCACGACATAGTACCGAGAGAACCTCTGCCAGACCTCGTTTTTATGCTGATACCACAGCAGAGATGGGCTTGGGTTGTCGGAGACATATTTTCCACTTTGAAGTTAGTTTTCTGTTTAATCCTTCTTATTAATGAAGAAAATGGATATCCACGTATTGGAAAAAAGCAGTGCGAAAATTCAACATATTTTATAAGTTCTGAGCAAACCAAAGAGATTTTGTCCCATGTTCAGTCCTCGAAGTTTGGGCGGAATAAACTTTTACAGTTGACCATTATCGTCACTACCACAGTTTTCCAGTCATTAATTTTAAACCACCTGTTTTCCTTCCTGTTCTAAATTTACCTTAATTTACTGATTACTATGTTTTTCTTTCCAGTGCTATACTTGGTTTCACGTGTGTTCTGTTGCATAAGAAACGGTTAATAGTATTTCGTCGTGTGCTATTACTTGGAGGAATTATGTACGGTTTGCGAGCGGTAGTTCTTGGATTAACGTTTTTACCGCCATCATTTCAAAACCGTGACGAAATATGCTTACCGCAAGTTAATAGAACTGCCATGTATGCTACGGAAATAACAACAAGGTAGCGATTACTCATTCAATTTAACTTGATATTGTTTCTGTGAGACTATTGCCCTATATAATTTCAGTTTAGATATAGTCGTGTCATAGTTTTTGTCGTTAAGGGCTAGATTTATGATGTCAGAAATGGATCTTTTGAATTAAGTATTTTTGCTCTCCTTTGTGAGTTTCAATTTCATGTTTGGGAATTCCAGTAACACTGTTAGCTGAAATATATTCTGCATATGGTGGCGTCGTGGTAATACACCATCATGAAAGTATGTTCATGAAAACCTGGTTCTCTTATTGGTCTTGAATGGCCGCAGAGAAACCAGCATTGTTGTTACAATATTATCGCAATATGCTAAGCTCTCTGCTAGCTACCACAAGTTATTTGTTTTTTGTTTCGTTGTAAATTTCAGGTTCGTAACATATGTTGTAACATTAGGTCTAACTTCGGGTCAAGATAAAATTCTCTGTGGTGATCTCATGTTCAGCGGTCACACCGTTGTGTTAACGATTATGTATTTCACCCTACTTCAGTATACACCAAGGAAATTGGTCTATTTGCGGTCAGTATTTTGAATTCTTAATGGAAGACAACAATAATGCCGACACAGCTTTGAAATATATTGTAAAGTTGAAAATTTGTGACAAAGGTCTTATAGATACATCGCAGCACCATTAACATACATTGGAATAGCAGCACTTGTTATTTCGGGCGGTCATTATACAATGGATGTTCTAATAGCTTACTGGCTAACCAGTCATATTTTCTATGCTTACCACCAGGTTTTCGCAATGCCAAGGTTTGTTTTGGTATCCTTTCGCAAAAATTTAAACAAACTTTTTTCTTTGACTTCTTTGTAGGCAGATCCAATTTAGTAATGTTTGAAGGTTGAGAGAGATACATGTGCTGGAAGTGATTGGTAAATTCAGCTTTTTACTTTTTTTCTCTGTTTGCAGTGGTTTTGTGAACTCTGAGTTGTTTTTTGGCAATTGAGATTGTACCTGTAAGCTTTAAATTGTTTTTTGAGAGTAGGATCTGGGAGTTCTATAATTTTGACATTCTCAAATTTTTCAGGGTGGAAAGGACTAGGGCGCCTCTTTCTCATTTATGGTGGTTTTGGTTATGTTATTGGTTTGAAAGTGATGTACCTGATGGTGCATTACGGAACGAATGGGATTGGCCATTACCGGGTCCAGCCTGCGTGCATCATTTTGTTCAACGAATAAGCGATAAATTACAATAGTAGACGGTCACTGCTGAGCTTTATGTTGAAAAGTTCCAAAATTCTTCTGTTTTTTGTTTGCTTTTTTGCACAATCTATTTATTCTGCATTTTGAAAACAATTTTTTTCTTGTGATAGGTTTGTCATTTTCACCACAACTTTAAGGAAGCCAAAAATTGACAGTTTTCTCCATTCCCAAAAATTTCTGAATTAGTGAAATTTCAGTTTTTTTGCTTGAAATTCCGTAAAAGTACGGTTTATATTCCAAAGATATTTTCTCTTACCTCCATCTACTGTTGAACATTTTGGATAATTCGAGCAAAATGCATCACTCACCCAATCATTTTTGTATTACTCATAATTTTTATTTTTCATTACTTGTGACAAAATATTGGTCTTGGAAAAAAGTCTTTATGCAGTAGATACTGCTTTCACAATAATTTAGTCGTTGAAGTTCCACCATCACTACTTATTAACAGGTGTAGCTATTCTGTTCGTTTCTTTTTCCCTCTTTTTTTTGATTGTATCTGTCTTTGTGCATTATTTTTGCACATATTTTCAATATTACGTGTTCTGCTACTCGAAATTTCAGGTATAATTCAGAACTTCGACGTCTGCGATAAGCAAAATCCGGTGGTAGTTGGGGGAGCCATATACCGTATTTATACGTCAGACTTTGTGAAGATCTTTTCCAGAGACTGTCAAAGTTCCGGAGTTCTGTGTTGCATAAAAGAAATCATATTTGTAAGATATTTTTTGTTGGTGTAGTTGTCTGTATATTTATTAGAAGCTTTTTTTTAATCGTTTAATTTATTATTGAAATTTTGAAGCTTACTGAATCTGTTTTTCCGAAATCTTGTTTACATTGTTTCTTTGGTCCAGTAATGTTATGGACCTTTTATTTCTGTCTTTGGTATGATGCAACATATGTCCACCAATAGCTAAAAGAGCATGATTTAAGCGTACTTTAGAGCGTTTCTTGTATTGTTGTACGTTTCATCAACTCAGTTGTATCTTCACTTTTTAAAATGTTCTGGTACATAGAAATATCAGGCTATTCCAGTTGCGTTTTCTTCTGAGCAGTGGAATGAAATATTGTTTATTCATAGTATTCTGATAGGACGTTGTCGTTGTTATTAATTTGCTGCTCATTTTGTAAAAAGTAGTGAGTTTATTCAAAAGGCTCTGTGCTTGCCATTTATCTGTCCCAATACATAAAGAATCTCTCGATTGTTCTTAAATTTTATCTCTTCCTCTTTTCATTATTTTCGTTCTTCCGAAAATACTTAGTGCATCTTTTCTCCTCTTTTAAAATAATCTAACAATCTGTGTTTCCTCTGCATATTAACTCACTTTTCAGACAGTGATAACTTCATAAAAGATAACGTTTAATGTAGAGTTTCACTTGCAACCTCCACTATTCAAGACTTGGGAAATGTACATTATAGATTTAACAGTTAGGAACTCAAAGAGCTCCTTGATACTGTTAGATTAGAAGACCAAACTGACACTTTTTTTACTGACACTTTTAATAGAAATGAGATACTGACACTTTTAATAGAAATGAGATTATGATATTACCACGTGCTTCTTAACGAGATTGTTAACACATTCAGGACCGGCGAGAATAACTGGGCATAATTTAACCGTTTAGAATTCCTTACCGAGGATTTCATAAGTTCTACGTCCCAACTTCATCGCGTATTCTGCGCAGGCATCTCGTACTTGGTCGTAGTCTGTTTCGTATTCTACTAAAAAGCTAAAATTAATTAGTCTAAGTGACTATGCAAGCTACAAGTTGCCGGGTTGTACCACCTCAGAGACGTCTGAGATTCCTGTTGCATAATATGGGATTCGATTTCATTGTGTCCCACCTTGTCAACTATGCCACAACAGCATAAGATGTGCTGTTATCATTGTTATCAACCGAAATCCATCGGTGGTATGGGTCCTTTTCGACGGTTATTTTGTGGGGGGGGAGGGCTATAGGGTAGGCGCTGGCGCTTATGGCATATTTGTCTCCGGCTGGAAGACTCTTCATATTTTCAGACTTGCTGTTTTTCTGCACGTTTCATTAAATGCGTGGGACACGGATATAGTGAGATTTCGTCAGTCGTACCAAATGCTGAAAGTATGACAAAATTTTTTTAGATAACTGTGCTTGGAGATGTGATTTTCTTTTTTGAAAGCTTCATTTGAACGTGATGTTTGAGGTTGAAGCTTTGAGAGATTCGCGGGAATTCTCGGAATCTCGTTTCGGTGAGGTAAGTGCAGTACAAGGAACAACTACTGGAAAGGTAATTACCACCTTCCAGTTTTGCATATATTTGTTAGTTCAGGTTATCTCAAACAGCCTTATGAACAAACGGTCGGTGTAGCAGAGTTGCTATGAGTTACAAGCGGGGTTTTTCCTAGGTCTCAAAGTTTTCTACAATTTGGTATGATTAAATTGGGTGTACAGTGAAAAGAGGGCCCATCATTTTAGAGTAAAAGCTTGATTAATATAGGTTTAATCTGTGCCTAATAAAGTCTAGTTTATGCCTTATCTTTGTTTAAAGTGACTCTATAATTGTTTATTGGACATCAAGCACGTAGCTGATGCCCGACTTACATTCAGAAGTTACAGAGAATTTGTTTAGAATAATCGTTATCGATCTAATAATTTGGAGATGATCATTCTGTTATCATCTTGCAGGAAACAATTCTGGCCAACTTAGGACCTCTCGCAGATCTGGTAGATCAGTATGCCAGCGTATGTAATGAAGTTATATCACTCTTTGCACATGTCATCTTGCGGTTATTTGAAACAATTAATAATGTCGGGTCGCCGTTGGAAGTCTTTACAAGTTCTTGTTCCTTTTTACTTGCTTTACTCTATTCGGTCTTTCACCTTCTCATTTATGAAGTCACTTGTCTAATAGCCTGGCCGTTCCGGAGTTTGATAAATTTGTTAATCTCTCATCCATTCATATTAACAGTGACTTCCTTAATTTCGATCCTAAGTTGTACTGCACTTATTATTATCATTAAGCAAATTTCTATTGTCCAAGTTGGCAGTGCTTCGATACGATTTATTGCTCCGAATTGTCGACGCTTCACTCATATCATTTTTCTGTATTTGTACCCATTAATTGCCACTGTGCTACATTCACTACTTCTGCCGGTGAGATTTTTATGCGATCTATGCATCAGTTTTATTGGGATGATTCCAGTTTCCAGATCGAGACATCTGAGAAGATATTCCTTGAATTGTGGTGCTGAGGATTTAAGCCGGATTACTTGTTGTATTTGTTTCATTCATGAGAAATCTATCTTACTGCAGCCCTGTAATCACATTTGTGTATGTGCTTATTGTGTTGAGGAATTGTTGGAGACCTACGAGGAACCATTATGTCCGCTGTGTCGCTCCGTCATTACATCATATGTTGATGTCTATATTTAGGTGTAGAATAAACACTGGAATGGGACTGGAACTATT